AAACTGTCTGAAAAAGCAAGAAAAAGCTCTTCCTGTTACATTTACTTTACAACTTCAAATGTGTGCCCAGAAGATGAGAACCAATCTAGTGGCACTTAGTAGTTTTCTTAGTTCCCTCTGATTTTTTTATGCTCTAGTTTAATTATCTCATATTAGAGAATGATAATGAGAAAACAAAATAACTGAATGTCATGATGAGTGTCACAATCAGGTTGGCTATCTCTCAAAAAAAAAAAAATCAGGAGGAGAAGCAATTATATCTTAGAATAGTATGAGTACTTTGGTATGATAATTTAGCACCAATACACTATGACGTACTCAAAATGGCATCAGCTATTGTCATTGCCAACCTTTGCAAAAATGGAACCAGCATTTTGAAAGCAATGATTGAAATACAAAGCTGTTAGAAATTTGTAGAAATTCGCCAATTCAGAAAAAATATGTGGAAAATAGCATTCATCCATTGAAATTCAAAACAAAAATGGTCAAACTAAATTGCTACCAGTTCATCAAGACAAGGAAAGAGGGTAACATTTCCTGACAGTTAATTAAACCAGTTGAAATATCAACTGAAAGAACAGAAGTGCAAGCCTAACCATATCCCCGGGTATCCTGAGAAGCAAAAGCTTACACTGAAGATACTATCAGATTAGAATGTATCAGAAGGAATGCAACATTTTCATCTTTCAGACAACCATCTGTATCTTAGCCAAGAAAAAGCCAAAGCTATTCCATATGATGGCCACTGTCAAGTGCATTATGACCTTAATTTGCAAACTGCCAGATGTCCTACCTTGTAACATGAAATCACAAGTAAGGACTCTAGAACAGCAACACTAACAACTTAATTAATGCAGCAACTGCATTCATTAGCTCTCTAACTAGTCCTTCAGACAGACCATAACTGAAGCATACTGTATCATAGTGAAATAATCTTTCAACTCTTCAGTTTGTATTGTGAGTGCCCTTATTCCTTCTCCACACTTCTTTGAAACAAAGACTTTTTTTTTAGTAATTAGACCTGAATTTCTATGCAGCACCTCAAACTTCTTTTACTGGTCAGACACCGTAATAACAAATATGCCGTTAATAACAGATTCCTCAAATTATAAAGGATGTAACCATTACACACAAGCAACAATTCCCAATACAAGTACCTCCCTTCCCTTTCAGTCAACATTTAAGGATTGAAATAGACATTTTCTTACTCAATAACATCTGCAATTAGGGTTTCTTTGGTTGGGTTTTTTTGAGAAGTGGCCTATAGACATGGTTTATCAGTCAGAACGCATTCTTCTGATCTGCACTGTAATGGCCAGGTACAAATCTCTTACTTCAGAACTCCACCTGCTGCCTGACTACTCGTTTCTGTTATGATCTTCCTAAGAACAAGTTTAATATGCATTTGAAATTAGAGACGTTCAGATAACCTCTGTAATAACATAACAGATAACACTGAAAACAGGTAAGGTCAGACTCAGAAAACAGAAAGGGACAGATGAACAGGCAGGAAAGGATAAAAAGCACAAGATACTTTCATCAGCAAAATTTTCACCTCACCATACAATATCTTCCTAATGCTTGCACTCATTAAGGAAATGTTGGTTTGCAGTGCCCACAACAAGCACAAAGTCAAGAGGTAACCAACACAGGTCTGCATCTACAGTAACTACAACATATGTAGCTGCCTCAGCCTTTCCCTAATAGAAAGTGACTAAACACATACATGTGCATACGCAATTAGCATACTCCTCATCTAGACCAGCAGTACTTTTCTGAAGGTTCCCACCTGTAGGGGCAAGGGTCAGAGAAAGTGCTTAAACAAGGTGCTGGAAACAGCTTATTTCTAAAACACTAGACAGTCCAGACCTTACCTGATGAAACCAATTGCTGTGCCTACAATTTATTTTCATCAGTGCTTCCATTGCACTGATGAAGCTATTACTTTAGAAAAAAAGTATCTCTACTATTTTAGAAAAAATAAACGCTAGCATAAGTAGTTTCTGAACACATCTCTGCAGATAACTAAATATTGTGCAGTTATACAGCATTTCTACTTACTTGAATATTATTCCTAATGTTTTAGCTTAGGTCTTAAAACATCCTTGAAAACACACCATTTATGTGAAATCAAATGTTAAGCTTATCATGTATTAACACATGTTCAACAATAGACATTATTACTGACTGCTACCAGAATAAACTGTCTCTCAGGAAAGAGTACTCCAATAAAGTGAAAGCTAGACCACTGGAGAATGAATTTGGTTGTGTAAATACATCAGAACACCCTAGGATACCCACAGCCTCAAAGTAGATTGTTGCAAATTGTATGAAGACTTACACTGACATGACTTGAAGATGATGTTCTTCCATCCATTATTTTCTTTACTGGAAAAAAGATACAAAATAAACTTAGCAATTTGTGCTTTACTTATTCAGAGGGAAGCAGGAACACAATAGTAGATACTAAGCAAGAACAATAAAATAATTTCTGAGCAATCTAGAGCACAAGGAACTCATTTGGGTTGGAAGGGACCTTTAAAAGATCACCTAGCCCACCCCCCAACCCCCCCCCAGTCACAGGCCAGGACATCTTTCACTAGATCAGGTTGCTCAAAGCCCCACCCAACCTGACCTTGAACACATCAAATGATGAGGCACCCACAGCTTCTCTGGGCAACCTCTTCCAGTCTCACCACCCTCATTGTAAAAAATATCTTCCTTATGTCCAACCTAAATCTACTCTCTTTAAGCTTAAAACCATTGCCCTTTGTCCTGCCACTAACAGTCTTGGTAAAAAGTCATTGACAGCCACAATAAGAGACACATGCTCAGACAAGGCTCTGGATGGTCAGGTCAGGGTGGACAGAACAGTTAATAAAATTTTGACTAGAATTTGTCTTTAGTGAAGGCATTTACCGCTTAAGTCCCCTGGCAAGCACGCAACTAATAAGCAATCCAGGCTTTGATTATAAAGTGAAAAGGAGCCACAGAAGACATCTGTAACACTACAGGAGTTCCAAGAAAAAATAAACCTCAAGGATTCCTGTCAACAGATACATTTCTTCCTCAAGGAAAGCTTAAGAGCTTCCAATGTCCATAGAGGTTTATTCTTTTTATAAAAATACTCTGTATGACTCCAGTGTAAGACCTTCAAACCTTAGAGCGAGTTTGAAGGCCTCTAACCTCATGTACTTTCCTTTAGCTCGGTGGTTTTTCAACTTACAGCCCCTGTCCCCCGGTGTGGGGAACAGCAACACCTACAGACTATTAAAAGAAAAGCCAAACTACTGCCCATTCGGACGCCGGCAAAGAGGAACAGCCGGCAAACGGCGGCCTTCTGACAGCGCTGACAGGGGGCCACCACCTGGGGACGGCACCACCCGGGCTGTCACCCCTCACCCCCGGCTCCAAACCCTGCGGCGGGGAAGGGAAGGGGCTTCCCACTGACAGAGAGCAAGCGCCGAGGGTCGGCCATCCCACCTTGCCACGCTCTCCCCTAACCCTCCTCACAACGGGGCAGCATCACCGCCACCACTCTTCCTTCCCTTCTTTTCCTCCCTCCCTCTCCCTCTTCACGGTATCCGGCCGCTCACCCGCCCTGCCCTACGGGCTTTGCTCGCCGAAGATACCCCGTGCGGCGCGGACTGCCCGGGCCCAGCCCCGGCCCCAGCCAGCGGTAACACCGACGGCACAGGGCCTAACGGAACGCCACCAGCCACCTTCACTTTAGCTTCACCACCCACCCCTCTCCCGCACTTCAACGGCGGGCGAGCGATACCCGCAGCGCTCACCGACACCGCTGCGCCGCTCTTGTTTATCCAGGCCCCGCCGTCGCCTGCGCAGCTTTCCCCCGGTACTTCCGGGTTGGGCACCGCCTCCGCCCGGCCCGGGAAGGCCGCCCCGCCCCGTAACGGCACCAACCGTCTCCCTTCTCTGAGGGGCTGCCGGTGCTTCCCTCAGCGGCGTGTCCCCCCCCACCACCACCGCGCGCTGCCTCCTGACCGAATGTCGGCCCCCTACGGATCGTCCCCGGCCCCTCCAGCCTGCCTCTCCCCTCGCAGCCGGGCCCGCCCGCCCCGGCTGTCAGTTTCACAGGGT